CAGAAAGATTCAACATTTCGAGAAAAGGTGTAACAGAGCAACTAAGATGTTTCCTGAACTACAGTACAGTAAATATATCATTTCGGCTATCCAAGTAGACTGACGGCCTTACAACTAGCTCCTCTTCAGACAAGAGTATACGGCAGATCTCACAGAGATTCAAACTATTGAAGGAGATGGAAATCATAAGCCCAGACCATTTTTTCTGTTGTCATGTGCCACCAACACAAGGGGATACAACTTCAAGCTCGCACAACTATTAGGAAATACTTCACACAAAGGATGGTAGACTTATGGAACAGTCTACCAGCTCAAGCTGTGTAATCAAGATTCAAGAACAGAGCTGGTTTTAAAAATTGTCCTTGACAAGATTATAAAGGTCAATGGAGGGACTCTAAACAGGCCACTAGCCTTCTTCCCTTAACAATGTCCACTTTTAGTTTGGGTGACCATTAGGTAAATAGACAGGTAACTCCTTTAATAATGGTACATACAAAATGCATCTTAACTGCCCAGTCAGTGTATTCATTCCAGTCCTGTAATAGGTCTTAACTGGCCACAAATTGAGTCATGGTATCCATTATATTTAGGCTTAGGGACCACAGACAGGGTTCATTGTACAGTAATTTCAATAGTGAGCCACATTGAAAAGTCGCTTCTGGCTCACAAGCCAGGATTAGAATAATCCTGCTCTAGTGTCTATACCAAGCTTAAGTTTGAAAATTGAATATGTATGTTTACATCTCATATGAGAAATGTAAATTATAGGTACAGTTGTGGAAACGTGTTCCTACACCACGTAGAAACCACAGGGGCAAATCCAGGGGGGTGGTGGTGGTCCTGGAGGACCAGACCCCTTCCTTTTCATCAGAAAATTCCAATACTTTTCATTAATGCAGTACAGTATTGTACTAAGGCATTTTTGTAAAGTAAAAAGTAATTACTATTGACCTCAGAATATCTAATATCAAGTGCATATGACCTCAAAATGCCCATGATATAGGTCATATAAAAGAAAAAAGAAAATAAAATCAGGTGGGAGGTGGGGCTTACAGCACCCTCACCCCCCAAAAAATCATCAGTTGGGTGGGCTTGCTGTGCTCGTGATGTTCCCTCGCCCATAATTTCTTGGACCCCCCTTGATATTCCAGGATCCACCCCTGAATCTGTCTCCAAACAACCAACCTATATGACCTATAGCAAACTAATCCATCTATCACCTCCCTCATTACAGTACTGTAGTTATATCACTACTGAGATGTTGCCATTTGGAGACAGGTTACCACAGGGGGTGTAGGAACACATTTCTGCAGCTATACAATACAGTACATCTTTGTGCATAATCTTGAGTTAAGTCAACCTATCTAAAATTTATGATCAGTACTAACTTTGCCGAGATACAGAATAACAGTAACACTGGGTAAAGCACTGAATCTCCCCGAACAACCTTCAGTAGGGTGTTCTATGAAATGCTACATTCAAAATATATATTAACTTTTAGTGTTACCATTATGAGGGGACAAACTGAGAAATTGACTTCTCCCTTTTGAGTCCCCCAAAAATTATATACAGTACAAATTTGTTTTAAATATTTTATGAGTGAATTTAAGAGTAAGGTGTTCATGAATAAAACGAGGTACAGTATTACATGCTTCTTCATTTTACATTACTTATCACAGGTTAAGGAAATAACGTTATTTTAATACAATAATCAAAATAACCAGTTTGTCGTTCAGCTCAAAAATATAAAATCTATAAAAAGTACAGCACCAACATGGGCTACTTTATCTAAATTTAATTTCTACCTGAGCCAATGTTTATTCACTCATTTTGGTTCTATGCCTAAGATAATTGGATTTCAAGGTTTATTTAAGAGCTAACAGAGAAATACGTAACACACATTCTACCTACAACAGGACATAGGTAATCATCAAGGGTCGATTATCACGAATAAACTTTTGATTACTCCAGACATACAGCTCAATATCAAAACAAGTATGATGAATAGGAATGGTCCATGGGATACTGTATTTCACAAGCAAACTGGTAGACTTCTTTATGGGAAATAAAGAAGACATTATAAAGTTAATACTTATGTACAATCAGTGACAAAATTATCTTCCCAAATTTGGATGAATGAATCATGGAATACACGAGCCTTCTGACACACACTTGGAAACTTTTGAACAGTTGGCAGGCCTGAAGAGGACTGATCCTAAGTTTCTAGGGTACCCCTGTTGTCCATTTATCATGACTATAAAAAATAGAATTTTCACATTAATCACTTTGGGATCCTTTGAACCATCATAAGCTTCATGTTACGCATAGAAAGAACTTCTGTCTCAGATGAATCATGCTACCCAGTCAGGCATACCAACCGTTCATAATTATGGAGTCTAAGTAAATCTTTCATCATGTTTTACCAGCTTAAAAAACTTATTGGACAAAACTGGGTAGATAATTTTGTCGCTCACTGTACATTCAGGGTCAAAATTTTGCTCCCGCCAAAAATGAAACAGCATCGACCCCAGATGAGATGAAACAGTCAGGGTAAGTCAGTTCAGAGACTCATTCCCGTGACTCAGTTTCACCACGAGGGGCGAACTTTTGTCCCCGACTGTACATCCTGCAGCAATATCATTAAATAAAACTCATGGACTAATAAGTGAACAATGGTTGAGCCATTGTTAAGTGAATCAATCACAGCACAAAATAACGATGGAACTCAATAATTTTTTATTATTATCACTGCCAGCAAGAACATTATGTTTACCCTAAGGAGACATCTGGAAGGCCAAGGGTTACAATGTCATAAATTTTCTGAATTAAAAAATAAAATTCTTTAATATCCAAATGGCCAAGACAACACAATAATAAGTTCATGACTCTAGTTTTGTCTCAGTAATCAACATGACTATAAATTAAAATTTTCACTAAATTTGTGCAAAAAAAAAATTGACCAAAAGAAAAATGCAATGGATGTGACTTGCACAATTAATCACAGCAGAAATGGTCAAATTGAAGCAGGCTTCAAATCTTGTGCTGTATCAGGACTGAAGAAATAAAATAACCAAGTACTGTACAGTAGTCACAGGTCCCCCATACTGTAAGCACTTTAGAACAAAAGGGTTTCTTTCTACATTCAACTGTTCAGTTCTTTATCATTCAAACTATTGTGCCACATGGTTGTTTAGAACCCTATTTTGCAAGTCCACATTCTCCCATCCAAGAATTTTCTTTCATTAACCTTTCTCCCTTCATGTAATTTTTTTGTTTTTGTTTAGCCTAAAATTGCCCCTGGGGAGCATGTTGAGATAAACTTCATATAACCATTTCTGAACTTTCTTACTCTCTAGTTGAAAATCCAACAAGTTAAATATTATACGTATATGCTTCACAACCCTTAAATGTCACCCAACATTAACAGATGTAAGCTGCAAGGATGGTGGCCAACAACAATAGATGTTTCATGTTCCTTGTATTCTAGTTTTTTCACATATGGAAGTACCATTTAAGGGTTAATCCTTAAACACTGGAATGGGTATATGACAATTATTATCCAACTTTTTTCGGAGGACACCTTTGACACCCGGGTCTCAAGTGTGGTAAAAGCATATATGATTTTGATGTTTTGTGCCATTAAAGCAAGATGTTTAATGTCTTACAATCCTTTTTTCCACTCTACCACAACATGGTTTACAATAAGGAGCAACATAATCTTCTATTACCTGTATTTGTTATTATTCATTCTCTAACTGATGTAACAGGTGCTCATCTCTAATGTGCCCTTCCAGAAGAAGGTCTAAACATAACCATTTGGAATGAGCCCCAACAAATGCTTACATTAAATAGGTTAAGGCCTAAAAGCACAATATTGCATTTTTCTCAGCTGAGAAAAGATGCCCCGCCCCTTCTCAAGAATTACAGCTGATTGGCGGTTTCAAACCTGTCCGATTTCGTCCTGAAGTAATGATGTATTTTTCTAAATGAGTTTATTTATAATCGTTGGGATGACCGTTTCTGACGAGAAAGATATTTAGCTAAATTATATAAAGATACATACATTCATTATTTCAAACATAAGTATGTAGGAAGTTTATCAGAAGTATTATACATGAATTAACTGTTAAACTCTGGTAGCAAATTCACATTTTCGGAGGATGCATTTAACATATACAATATATACTGTATACTGCACTTATTTTTACCAACAATAAGGCATACTAAGACAAATTATGTATCAGTAATATTACATTATACAAAAACTAACATTTTAAAAGATTAGAATCACATTGAAATATTTAGACAGCTGTCAGCAAAAGCTGGAAATATGAAGTTGTTTGCAGTCGCATTTCCCGCCTTTGCTGACGGCCGTGTAAATATTTCAATGTGATTCTAATCTTTTAAAATGTTAGTTTTTGTATAATGTAGTATTACTGATACGTAATTTGTCTTAGTAGGCCTTATTGTTGGTAGAAATAAGTATACAGTCTCTCCTCGACTTACAACGGGGTTCCGTCCCGACGACCAGATCGTAAGTTGAAAAGGCGAAAATAATACGTAGAAATTCTAAAATGAAATACCGTACAGTAAAAGTAATCAATAATGAAAAATTAATAAAGTGTTACTGTGCACTTACCTTTAATGTAGTCAGCTGAATGCACACAGGGCCTCAATAATTTTTTAATTAAGCATGTAGACTACATTAATTGGATGAAGCAGAGGAGGAGACAGGACCGTCGTATGTCTGGGTTGTCGTAAGTCGAGGAGAGACTGTATGTTAAATGCATCCTCCGAAAGCGTGAATTTGCTACAAGAGTTTAACAGTTAATTCATGTATAATACTTCTGATAAACTTCCTACGTACTTATGTTTGAAATAATAAATGTATGTATCTTTATATAATTTAGCTAAATATCTTTCTCGTCAGAAACGGTCATCCCAACGATTATAAATAAACTAATTTAGAAAAATACATCATTACTTCTGGACGAAATCGGACAGGTTTGAAACTGCCAATCAGCTGTAATTCTTGAGAAGGGGCAGGGCATCTTTTCTCAGCTGAGAAAAAATGCACTATAGTCACTGTCTTTTTAATTAAAAATGAAAAATTTTTGTACCACGGAAAATAATTATGAAATTATCCTTGTAGTAATGGAATGAAGAAGATATTCTCAATAACCAGTAGAAATACACATGCACATCTTTATCAAGAGAAGTGTATTACACCAGCAGTAAACCACGTGGCTAGCACAGTGGGTAGGTGTTCATAAGAGGCCCATACACATACAACTCATCACATAGATGATAATATCAGCATGATATTTACCACAAGTAGGCTTGTGTCTGACTAGAACCAGTCCTAAAATTTTAACTAATTTTGCACAACCAAAGATGTTATGCTGGCCATTACTGTACAACTTTTTTGAAATTAAATTATCTATACAGTACAACCTCAAGAATATAAGTCATTTGTACCATTCACATATACAAAGTATACTTTTATTATCATCATTCAACATCACTGTTGATGAATGAACATATGTCAACCTGTACATAAAAATAAAAGTGTAAGTAACTATACTGTACATTAACCACATATTAAAGTTATCACAGCTATATTCTGTTATGAATCAACAACACCCTTTTTTCTTCTTGTTGTTATGTAGAGTGATGGTTGAGTTTTCCAGTGTGGCCATGACATCTGCATTTGTAACTGCAAAATCTTCAACAACACAATTGAACAACTTCTCAACATTGTTCCCAGTTTTGCTTGATGTTTCTATTACCTTTGCACCAACCTATTAAGCAAAAGCAAGGAAGTCACATACAAAACTTAAAAATAAGTAACCAGTAATCCAACATCTGAATTAAAATTCTCCACCAATGACTACAGGTATACAATAACTTTTGTCAAAACTCAGGATTTATAGTTTGCAATTTACCAATCTGCTGCCTAGTGAATGGTACTGTTGTATGAAAAGTACTTTCTCTATGTATAACCTACATCTTCCATATTATGAAACCATAAAAAAATGGGCAAATATCCTTAATACCCTTGAAAAATACCGGGCATTCCATATGGGTATAGATAAATGAAAAATGCTGTGAAATGGAAACAGTTATACTGTAGAGTTCAATGTTTGGCACATATTGCCTACAAAGATGGGAGATTGTGACTAATGTTATTAGGATTCAATGTGACCCATGTTCCAGACATGACTGTTCATAAAGACAGGCCACTTCTTCCCACATGTTGTTCCACATCTCCAGCATGGTTTGTGTGAAAGCTGAGGCAAATTTAACGGATTTAACGCTGCTTGATTTCTTTGTGTGGGGCTTTGTAAAGAATATTGTGGAAGCTCAACAGCCCATGGACACTGTTGATCAGAAGAACAAAATTGCTGTAGCGACTTACTAACACCCGCCGATATGAAAGGGGCTAAACTTGAAAATTACTGCACAGTATTCCCTTTAAGATCGTGGTTTTAAAGCTTGCATCCCTCGGAAACTCACAGATTTCCATGAAAAATAAATCAAATAAATCGGAGGCTGTGTGCCAGGGATCAAGAGGAGTCAACACTGCAGGACAGTACAGAGCACCATATTTCCCAGGTCATAAGATGCACACTATAATTAGCAAGGTATATTTAAGAAAAATAATATTTGCAGATTTAATAGCCTACTGTAATGGCAAAGCCAAATCACTGGCTATATGCTGTAGTGATGGGTTGTCAGACCACAGCTTACATCTCAGAAACAGTCCAGACTTGACCCGACATTAGGGGGGTCAAGTGTAGGGTAACTCTTGCGGCTGACCAAGGGTTATAAATCAGCCAGGCTCCCCTCTCATGTCACACGGCCCCATCTGAAGATTTCTCCAGAATATACAACTTATAGTCTCTGAAAAAGTCCAGACCTGACCCTACATTAGCGAGGGCAAATGTAAGGAGACCCTTCGCCGCCCCCCCCCGATCAGCTCAACCTGACGGCTCGCCTCCCAATATATAGGACGTCCTAGTCCTCCCTCTGCCCAGAGAGAGACAGAGAGAGAGTGTGTCTTGTAACCAAAAAGGGCCAGCTACCACGTCCCCAGTCCTGCTCGAGAGAAGTCTTGGGCCGGAGGCAAGCCGCCTCCGGTCGCCTCCGGTTAGGAGCGAGTTGCCCTCGACACACCTGTGCCCAGCTAAGCAGTCTCCCATAGAGACAGAGAGAGAGAGAGAGTGTGTCTTGTAACAAGGAAGGGCCAGCTACGACGTCCCCAGTCCTGCTCCAGAGAAGTCAGGGGCCGGAGGCAAGCCGCCTCCTGTCGCCTCCGGTCAGGACCGAGACTTCCCTCCGGCGCCCAGCTAAGCAGTCTCCCATAGAGACAACCCAGGACCACCTGCTAGGCCTCCCCTAGGTCACGTGAGTTTTTGTCAGAGCTTTCCATGGGATGAGTTACTTACGTGGGAAGTGTATTAATTTCATGTTCGTGTCCGAGAATCAGTGTCTAGTAACGTAATATGATGTCCAAGTAACGTAAACATAATGTCCTAGTAACTTCAATAGAAGGTGTTATTAATGTGTCCATGTCATGTTCGTAATTAATAAAGAGTTGTAACGAAGCGGTGTTTGAGAAGTCGCCCTTAAGACGTAATAGATGTGTATTGACGTATAAGATAAGATAAGTGTAAATAACTATCACGGCCACGCTACCAAAATCTTCCTCTCTTTTTTACTCTCTTACTACAAAATTTTATCTCTATATCTTCTACTCTTAAATCTGGCCTCATTACAATGGTGGCAGCGCACTTAACGTAAAACTCACGCCTCTTCCCTTTAGTGTTCAATACAGTGATAGTTAGAATCTTTTGAAGTAATCTCGTAACTATCTTGACGAAGCAGGCAGTACAAGGGTGGTTGCATTCGTAACATTATATTGGACATTCTCAGTAGCCCAAGTGCAGTTTGATTGTTAGTCAGTGTTGAACGTAGAAATTGTTTCAGTTATGAAAGCGGTGTCTGTACTAACTGTTATAACTTAACATGTCTTTTAACCTACATCCTCCTCCCTGTCCTAATCCTCACCTCACCCTCCTTACCCTTCCTCCCATCCCTGCCCCGCCCTGCCGTTCCGTGCCCCGCCCCGCCCCGCAAAGCCCCGGCCTGGTCCGATCAACCACGCCTCGGCTCCTCCCCACCTCACCCGCCACGCCTCGCCCCACCCCGCGCCGGCCTGGCCAGCCGCGTCCCGCCTTGCCTCCGTCCTTACCTTACCCGATTAAAGGGACTTTGTTCATTCAAATGCTAAATATTTTATTTAACAAATAACAATATCAGGAAGCTTACCTCTTCAGCATAATCAGAAAGATCATGAAAGTCAACCTGTCGTTCCTGAGGTTTATCCATTGCCAAATCAAGTTTTGTGCCGCAAAGATAAATCTTACAATCTTCCTCATGCTTCTGCACTTCTGACACCCAGAATTTTGCACGATCAGCACTGGTGGAGAAAATAGACCATTACTATATATGCATAATACTGGTACAGGTTGACAACCCTTTATCCGAAATTCCGAAAACTGAAAAGCTCTGAAAACCGATTTTTTTTTTTAACAGGGATTAGCCCACCCAGGCATAGATCACTGACCCACATCGGGGCCTGGGGGGCAAAAATGTAATACAGGTACAGGTTGTACCTCTCTAGTCTGGCATTCTGTGGTCCGGAAACTCCCGTGGTTCGGCACGATTTTAGTTTGTCCAATAGGTAGATAAGCAGCGTTTTTTTTTTTTTTTTTTTTTTACTTATCTGCATTATTATTATTATTACAGGCGTATTAAATTTTTGCCCCTCAGGCCCCAATGTGGGTCAGTGACCTATGCCCGGGTGGGCTAATCCCCCAAAATAAAAAAAATAAAAAAGCCGCGGGAAATTAAGGTTGTTTACATCCGGCAGTTTGGCTCTCTTTCTCTGCTTGTTTATACAGAGTACAACATTTAACCCTTCAATATATATGAGCAGTAAATAAGTGTTGCTTTCATATTTTTATGTAGAGTAATGACGATATGTTTTCACATGTGCACACTTACATACACGCAGTCTCACTTATTTTCTTTACCGTTAATGGTTAGCTACTTATATTGTTCAAATTATTACATTAAATAACATTACTTCAAACAAGCATATTAATTTTTTTACATTAATTTTACTACAGCTACAATCAGGGTCTTATTTTCTTCAGTTTTATATGTAGAACCAATCAGTCACTGGTTTTGTAAGCATTAACGAAAACAATGCTGGCAGCCGTCTCATCTCCTCATGTTAATATTCCACGTATTATTAATAAATTGTATTGTTCATTTTGCACACAAACATTAATTCAATAAAAAAAATTCAGAAACATTAATTAAAATATATATGAACGGTAAATTAGTGTTGCTTTCATATTCTTATATAGAGTAATGACGATATGTTTTCATATGTGCGCACTTACATACGCGATCTCTCTTTTTTCTTTACCATTATCGTTAGCTACTTCTACTGTTCCATTTATTAACATTAAATAACTTTACTTAAAATAACCATATTAATTTTACTACAGCTACAACCAGGGTCTTATTTTCTTCAGTTTTATATGTAGAACCAGTGAGTCACTGGTTTTGTAATCAATGAAAACAATGCTGTCTCATTTCCTTGTGTGTTTTAATATTCTACGTATTATTAATGAATTGTATTGCCCATTTTGCACACATAAACATTAATTAAATCAAAAAGACATTCAGTAATAAACAATAATGAATCTTTTGTACATAAGAGAAATGACGCTGTTTACATGATTGTGCACGTCGTCTGAACGTAGGTGGGCCGTTCAAACACGTTGAAATTCGAGTCTCCGCCGTCAAAATTTTAAATTGTTTTGTTTTTTGGTGTGTTCAAATAAAAAACGTCAAATTAAAAACTCGCGAAATTTGAGAAGCTACTGTACGACATTTAACCCTTCAATATGTCTTCAAAGAGACCATGAAGCAGAGAAAGTGGTGCTAGTGCTTCCAAGCGTAAGCACAAGTCACTATCTATCGAGGAAAAGGGTGAAATTCCATGGTCCGGCATCGGCCAGGTCCCGAGGTTGCCGGACTAGAGAGGTACAACCTGTAGTAATAATAATAATAATAATAATTATTCATTGTAAATACAATTTTTAATAAAAATACACCAAAATAAAATAATAATGATAACAATAATAACAATAATAATAATAATAATAATAATAATAATAATAATAAAATATAATAATAAAATTAATAATAATAATAATAACAATAATAATGAAGTAATAAAATAATAATAATAATAATAATAATAATAATAACAATAATAATAAAGAAATACAATGAAAAAAAAATCAAAAGTGAGAAACACGACCTAGACCTATGAATTATTATTACAGTGACCCCTCGGTTAACGAACTCAATCCGTTCCAGAAGGTCGTTCGTTAACCGAAAAGTTCGTTAACCGAAACCATTGTTTCAATGGGTTTTTGGGTAATTGGTTCCAGCTCACCGAAAATTTCCTAAATTCAACAAAAATGGTAGAAAAGTTCACTTACTTTGAGGTGTGTATGTAGAAGGCTCCTGGATGATGATGATGATGATGGGATTTAGAATGGGGGTGGAGGAGAAGGAAGAAGGCATTGGGGTGGAAGAGAAGTCACCCCATGGCGCCATTTCACTCATAAAATTTTAGCTCTCTTGGTGTAATTCAAGATTATTTTCTTTAAATCAACACTGCACTGCATTATATATTGTCAATATGTAAAATATATTTCAAAATGACCAATAATTTGCTTGGAAACACAGAAAAAAAGCGTTTAGTTGAAGAGAGTCTCAAGCAAGATGTTACCTCCAGTGAAAACAGAGAGAGACTAACGCCTGTTTTCTGTGTTAAGAGGCTGGATGCATAAACTAGTAACTTTACCTTCAATTATGTTCAATAATTGTTAAAATGACTAAAAAATTGAATATTAAACTTTTAAAAATTATTGAATAGTATAAACTTCTTTGATATTTACTAAAATAGTAAGGAATTTAAGCCCTAGAACCGATTAATGTATTGGCGGACTGATACTAAAGCTGGTTGCCCGGTCAGTGCAAGCGAAAACATGTTGAGGTCGGTTCGTAAGAAATTCGTTAACCGAATTTTTGTTCGTTAACCGAATTGAAGATCCTTATGGAAGGCAGTTCGTTAACCGAAATTTCGTTAACCGAGGCGTTCGTTAAACGAGGGGTCACTGTACTATTGTTATTACTATTGTTATTATTATTATTATTATTACAGTATTATTATTATAGATTTTATTATATTTTGGCACCACCCCCACCCCCCCAGGCCCCAATGTGGATCAGTGATCTATACCCGGGTGGGCTAATGCACATTAAAAAAAAAAAAAAAAAACCTAACCATTCTGAAAACCGAAAAATTCCGAAATCCGAAATGCCTCTGGCCCCAAGGATTTTGGATAAGGGATTGTCAACCTGTACAAGAGAATCTCTTACTTTGTATACATTTGTGTCTGACTATTTGGTGAACGTGTGAATTCTGGAAACTAAAGAGCAAGTTATAATACTGGTGCGATGAACCTTGGGACCATGAAGAGTCAGTGGCGAGTGAAATTCTGAAAAAAAGTCGAATAAAAATATTGTTACTCTGAGAAAAACCTATTCAAGAAGAAGTACAATAATCTTTCTTCATATTAATTCAAGTAAAAGTAAAAAGTTTATAAGTACAGTATTTAAGAAATTGGGAGTACAAATACCATTGCAATGAAAATTAGTTGCTAGGTTTGGTTTAAAATAATCATAGTTATTATATACTTTCAGGAAATTCTGTTGTTTTTTGTTTAAAATGCTAATAAATGTCGTTAAGGTTCTAGATTCTAGAATGTACAGTATGTGTATATAGCAAAGATGGCCTTGTGCAGTGTGAGATAAAGTGAATGATGTACATTAGATGTATACGGTATACCATAATTATATACAGTACTTGAGTACAGCTTATGTTTTTGTGGATGTATACAGTCTACCATATATACTTGAGTACACTAAGTTTTTAAGCAAAAATAAATAAAAAGTTGAATTATATATGCACAATATTTTTTAAGGATTAAAATTTATTCATTTCTGTGGGTCATTTACGGTGAACGTTAGTTGTACACACACAAAAAAAGGTATCTCGCAGGGGGATGGGGGGGGTCTGCTGACTTCCGTAATGATCCATACATCACATGATGTGTTCACATTCAGTTATACCATCAACTATATATACAGCAGGATATGTCGTTAGCAACAGATATGTGAGGACACCTTCAGGTAAGACAAGCAGAGCTGCCACCACAATACAGGACCAACACACATATTCCACTATCCCTCGTCTGTGGTGTCATATTGTTTTGCACATAATCCGTGCGGTACTTTTTTCTGTGTGTACATGCTCGCGGCAAGCTCCTTCATCCTGGGCTTGCCTACTGTACCATACCCCTAGATTCTTTCTTTAAGTTCCTGCATGAAGAGCGGAACCTCATCACTATATATACCACCTTAAATCTCTAAATACCTTAAACAAACGAAGATTTACAGATAATATTCTTTTCATTTGCAGCGTTGTTTATTTGTTGCCGACCTGTCCTGTAGCCACATCTCCCTACCATGCGGAGCTATGTGGTGTTATGGTTATTTAAAAAAATTAATTTCGAGTAGATATACGTGTTTCTTTTCTATTTGTACTTGGTTATATGCACACACAATCCTACATGCATTTTGTACAAAGCAAGTAAAAGAAATAATTATCACAAAGTCAAACAAAGGGAATAAACATTTCTTTGTGCACGTGAGCAGTGGAGGGGGAGGTGGGAAAGGAGTATGGCGGGCGGAGGGAGGCTTCGTCAGGGCTGGATTTACCTACTTGTGGGCCCCAGGCCAAACTCATCAGTGGGCCCCCAAATTTATAGAAATGTTTACATGTTTCAATAATCAATATGTATCACTTGATACACACATCAACACTGACACCTTTTTCCACAGAATGTTTCTTCTAAGTCAACTGAGATGAATCGGATGAAGCTTCAGTCACAGGTGGTACAGTACTTCCATTGCTGTAGGTGCTGATTTACTTAATCTCTGTGACTGTGACTCAGCCGACCTCGCTTCGTCATCTGAATCATGAAAGTGAACATCTACTGTGTCATCCCCTGGGAGTTTACTGTCACTGGTACTTGGCTCTGAATCTCCTTTTGGTTTAAAAAAAGTTGTCAGCTTTGGAACTGATTGCAGTTGTGCAGCTTTGGCTGCTTTTAACTTTCTCTTTTGTAAGCCACTCAGATATTTTTTTCAGGGACAACATATTTACCTCATGAGAATCCTCAAGAATAATCTGTAAGCAAAAAAATAGTGTAAGTCTAAAAGAGATATCAATATCACAAAGAATAGACACAAAAACACACGTAATAT